TTTCAGAAACGAAGATACATTACAGTAGTATACTTTTAATTTCAACTAATTATTGAATTTGATAAAGAATGGATCGTATGATAATTTAAACTTCTTTTTTCAATAGCTGATTAGAGGACATTAAAAATCATTGTTTTGTGAAAAATTAATAAGATTAATCAAATGTGACTTGAATTTCAAAATTTACTTGAAAATGTAGTAGAATGTATTTATTATATTTATTTATTTTTATCGAAAACAAATTGACAAAATTGAAATTACAATTTCATCACTGATTTTTTTTCACATGTTTCTTCAAATATTTTATTAAAAATTTGAAATTTTTATACTTTTACCTTATATGTACACATGATTTTTGTATCTACGTGCATACAAATTATTTTTTTTAAATTTCAACAAATTTTACTAAAACTTTATTTTTTACACGAAAAATCCAACATCTTATTTATCCTACGGAATAAAATTCAATTTAATTAACTTTCCTTAGCATTTCAAGCTCTCAATTTCGTTATCCGAACAATAAATCATCAAAAGTTGAATTATTTTGTTATGCTACTTAAAACTCTTCACTTATCTGTTATCCAATTTTCTCTTCGGAATCTCATCGCGAGACCAACAATTAACTACTGTTCACCGGCAAATATATGGATGATGGAATTGAAAGAGCAAGGCAACAAAGTTTATTGTTAGTAATATGTTTCGTTTGTCCAAAGTTGTTTCATCTTTTTTACATTTCGCGAAATTTTATGTAGTATACACTTTGGAAAACAAAATTTAAAAATACATAATTTATTCATATAATTTACATATATATGTACATATATATATATATACATATAAAATTTTTTATAATAATTGTACTAATAATTAATATTATTATGTTTTACTTATATATAATTTATTAATATTTATAATATTATAGAAATATTATATTATTAGGAATATTTTTTGAGACATATCCCCTAATCTCAATAGAATAGAGAAATACAAACTAGTTTATTAAATTAGTTATACTTTGTATAGAGAATTTATTGAAGTATCTAAAATGTTTTTAACAGCATGTCTTTTTCTTTTTTCAGTGAATGTATATACTATATACTATAATAATATATAATCCTAATACTAGAATAATATACATAATAGAAAAGTCATAATATGTCTAACAACATGCTGTCTTGATGCAATTTTTAATACAAATGAAATGTACGACTGATAATGCATACCATTGTTTATTTTATATAGAGAAAGTTCAATATAAAAAAAAAAAACGCATGTAGAGGGCTGAGAATCATAATGGTTCTCACAAGATAATTTATTATTTACTGTTGTATATAAAAATATACATTATAACGTAAATTATGTTAAATTCAATTATATAAAAAAATATCCTTTCAATTGTTCCATTACGAAGCCAAAGGCATGCGATATATATTAAAAAAAAAAAGTTAAAACGCGTACAGCTGAATACAAAACTCTGAAAATTTCTCCAGTCCACTGTATAAAATCCGCGTGGTGGTGTCGAGAGTGTTCCAAAACTGTTCGCTGCAAATTAAAGCGAGTCCGCGAGCCTAACTGTAAAATGTAGCGAGCGTAACTGTGCGGAGTCAATGTTAACGGGCAAGATCTTCCGAAGATTTGTTCCGCTATGCCTAGACATTTTGTTCTTTGTCTCCCCGACGCTTTTTTCCCTTCTTTTTATCGCTCCACGAACGTTGTTGCCCGTCGTGCTCTTAACCGTGCAACAGTCAGACAAAAACTTGACGTATTTCGTACATAGTGTTCTGTTTGATACGG